CTCCAACCCGGAGGAGATAGAGATTGACTTTGAAACGCTCAAGGCGTCCACGCTGCGGGAGCTGGAGCATTACGTCCTGTCCTGCCTACGCAAGAAACCTCGCAAACCATACAGTGAGAGTGAGTGTGGGAAACAGGGTGTCCTCACGCACAGGTGGCTGTGTCTCCCAGGAACCCAGCCGGGAGGAGCCGGGTGAAGTCTGTTCTGCCAAGGACCAAGGAGGCCCCAGGTTGCAGAGGGGACTGGAGACTCCATGGCAAAACAGGCTCTTCCAGACTAGGTGGTAATCTGCCTTGCCATGTTTTGTTACAAACGGCAGTCGAAATGGGGAAAGAACAAGGTGTCCACAAGTGTCAAACGGCCAATTTTCATCGTGCCCATTTTTCTCCTCTGGAATCTTTAATGTTGAAAAAAATCCTGAAATCGCATTCCTGTGATCAGTCCTTGGCCAGCCTTTCACACTGGAGCTTGGGGCCTCTGAAAGGGTTTCAGTGCGAGATCCAGGCTGCCCGTGCTCACCTAAGCTCCCACCCCCATAGAAATTGTGTCTCCCTGGTGGTACACTCATCACTGATCCCGTGGAGTGTTTTATTGGCCTTGTTTACAAGTGAACCTGACATTGTGGCTTGGAAATCACAAGTTACGGCTTTCCAAGTTAGGGCTTTCCATGCGTGGTATAAATCCAGACTGGGCAAATCATGGCTACAGCAGATGATGATTCAGCCTGATTGGCAAATCAGGCTATGTGGCTGTGAGGCTTCCCTGTCTGTCTGCTTCTCTCCATGGTTTGGGGGGAGTTGCAGTGAACCGGGGAGCCTTTCACTGACCCTCTGCTGTGCACTTGGGGTCTTGCAGAATTCTTTAAAAAGCAGCAGTTTTTCACCCTGCAGAGGTTGCGTTTACAGTCTTGAATTTTGCTTGGCTTGTGGGAAGGACGGTGTTCCTGGGGTCTGCTTTCCAGTGGCAAAGAAGCAGAGGCTGCTGCGCTGCACTGCATTGCACTGCACTGCTGGGAAGGTGGGGCCCATATGAAAGGAAGGGAAGGGGGCCTGTGCCCTTTGACCTCATCCTGTGCTCCTGCGTGGTCTGTCATTCAGCTCCTGCGTGGTCTGTCATTCAGCTCCTGCTCTGGCCTCGATTTGTCTGGGAAGCCTTCCCACCCGGGCTCCCCAACCACGGTCTTAGTGAAGCAGGGCCTAATTTTCTGGGGTGCCCACTGAGAGAGCCTCATGCTCCAGGTTTTTACTGGAGCCATCCAGGCTGGAGGCCGGAATACTCTCTAGCAAGACAAACAGCCTTAATTTAAATATAAGGATTTCTGTCTGGCTTGAACTTCCGACCTGGCTTACCTCAGATGGTCCTGATTTGTTGTGTTTGGAAGGGATTTGTTGTGTTCCTTTCCAAACCACTTCTTCCACAGTACATAATGTTACATCAGTTGCCCGTTTCTTCGCAAGGTCCAGCTTCTACAACATCCTTTTAGGTGTGGAAACCCTGATTCTAAATGTCACAGAGCTGGGCTCACATTTCACAGTGATGTTGTTGTGATTTGTTTAACCGTGGTTTAATGTATACGCCAGAGTTGACTGGGTTCATACTTCACACTGAGCTAGAAATGTGGTTATGTGATAGAAAAGAGTGTTTTGAAGCTGGTAATTAAAGGGCTCCTTTCCCAGTGCTGGATGGAATTTGTCACAAGAACTACATATTCGTTCGTCATTTGCTTTCATCTCCACCCTTGCATTTCCCGGAAAGGGTGCCTGGATTGGGGTGATCCTTGCACAGGGGCTGTTCTCGTCTTGCCCCCGAGAGTGGACAGATCCTTTGCTGGCCCTTCCCAAGGAAGGGAATTGGGCCTCCTTGCTAGTCTTCTCCTGGCTTTGGCTTAGCAGCTGGACCGGCTCTTGTAAGCAGGGCTGCTGCGGAGCAAGAGGGGTGGAAGGGAGACGCCAGGGGGCTCTGGGAGGATGGAGCTCCGCCTTTTGCACAGAGAAGTAAGGTTTAGTAGGAGGACCAGCTGGTTCCTCTGCTGTTGGACGGCTGGCGCGCGTGCCCTATTGGAAACTAAAGCAGTGTTTGCACACGTGTGAAGAACTGCGCAGGAGTCCCCTGACCAAAATTCCTCTTTGCAGCCCTGAAGAAGCCGGTGGGCAAGACGAAGGAGGAGCTGACCCTGGAGAAGAAGCGTGAGCTGGAGAAGCGCTTGCAGGACGTCAGTGGGCAGCTGAACTCGGCCAAGAAGCCGCCCAAAAAAGGTCAGTCAGCCTCCAGCAGCAGCAGCAGCAGCTCTCTCTGGCAGTGGCCTCTGTGGGCCTTCTGGTCTCAGGCTCGCTGTGATCTCTCTGTCTCTCTCGTCCTGCTGCAGCCAGTGAGAAGCCGGAGTCTGCCCAGCAGGTGCCCATCTCCCGCCTGAGCGCTAGCAGCTCCAGCTCTGACTCCAGCAGCTCCAGCTCCTCCTCCTCCTCGGACACAAGCGACTCTGACTCCAGCTAGGCAGACTGGGGCGACCGAGAGACGGGCAGGCGGGGAGGGAGGCCCTGCGAGGTCGGAAGAAGGTTCTGCAGGACCGGAACCAGGAAGAGCGACGAGAGGAGTGGCGGCGGCTCCCCCCTGGGCCGCGTGGGAGGCTCAGCAGCTGGCTCCCCTCTTCTCCCCATTGGACCGTGAAGGGGCAAGAGCTGGTCCCCAGCTGTGTGTGCGCCTCGGTTGGAGGGGGTGCTGATTGTACAGTTTGCTCTAGAAGGGAGGCTGTGTTGAACTCTTGGGGTTGACTCCAAAAGCCTTGTAGTTTTTATCAAGCATTTAGCAAGTTTGAGAGTTTCGTGACGCTCCTTCTCTGGAGGGACAGAGACTGCCTGGGGTGGCACACGCCCCTGACGCTCCAGCTTGGAGCCCCCCTCCCCTCCTCCCCTCCCGAGACGAGACTTTTCTCTTGGGGGGGGAGACGTTGCCTCCTCTCACTTGCCCGTTGGCACTCGAGGTTCTTTTATTTATTCCCCCCTTCCCCCATCGTTGGCTTTCCTGGGATCCGGAGTGAGTGCAACCGTGTATGTCCTTGGCACAATCGAGACAGCATGTTCTTTGCCCCTCATAGAGGGAGGCTGCTGAAAGAGGAGGGGAGGCAGCCCTCTTGAGTTTTTTACGTTGACTGTATATTTTTTCTACCGTTTCTTTTATTCCCACTTGTTCATCTTCTAGGGCTCTGTTTCATCTTACTGTATGTTAAATCTTCTGGTTCTTTAACATGTAAATAAAAAAAGTTACAAACTCTCGTGGTGGACTTCAGTGGAGTGTAAGTTACACCTGCGGATAGGCTGAGCTCCTAGAGGTCTCTGCCGGGTGCCTGCTCAACTTGTGCGCTCCTCCCGGATCCCTCCTCGGGGGTCCATTGGTCCCCGGGAGACCCGCCTTTCATTTGCCATCCCCCATCCTCCCCCGGAGGAAATTCACCAGCAGGCCCTTGCTGGGGGAGGCCTGCAGCGGGCGGAGCGGCGAAGGAAGCCACGGCCCTGTCCGCGGACC